ATGGTAAGGACACTATGCCATTCCTGAGGGCTCTGCCTTCATGTTCTCACCACCTCCAGAGGTCCCACTTCTAATATCACACGTGTTTAGGTTCCAGTGTTTGGGCTTTTGGGGGACACAGGCATTCAGACTACTGACTAAGAAGTGATGGTTATTCAGGTTTGAATATTTAGTGGGCAGTCTTTTAGAATATGAATGAAATGAGATTGTCATTTCAAGGAAAAACAGCAAACAGCATTTGCCAAATAATAGGATTTGAGTTTTCAAGTGAAAATTAGAATTTCTGAAAACTTATACTTACCTCGATGAGTTTGACAACTTTTTATGAAGACATTTTGATATGTAATCAGTGTTATCCTGCTATGTGTGTATATATATGTATGTATAGTCATATAATTTAATGATATGTATGTCTGGCATCTAAGGAAACCATTGCCTAGATCTTTATAGTAGTTATTTTACATTCCCACAGTTACCTATTATTATATATTAATGTACTTCTATGAATCTGCCACATAGGTCTTTATAGTAGTTATATTATCTAACATTCCCATAGGCATACATTAGATATTCATGTACTTCTATGTTCTACACATATATAATGAAATGCTATTGCATTTAGAAGAGCCACACAACTCAGTGAATCAATCTTTTCCAAATCACACCATTAAAAAAGTCATACAGGCAAAATAATCTGTTACACAATGAAGTGATGGAGTTGAACACATCAGTATCAAAAGCATAATAATTTGGTCTCAGATTCAAACTGTAACTTTAATAAACTACCACTTGTCAAGTTTTGATGTGGTAAGAGACACATCTACAAAGATCTGAAGACTATTGAGCTAGTCTTCCCTTTTCTACCAAGGTACTTATTGGAGGGCAGGTTCTCTTTATATTCTTAAGCGAAAACAGCATAAGACAGCACTTGAATGTGGGAGACAGGAATGAGCATCCAGCTGTCTTTCATTAACTGTGGCACAAAACAGATGTTCAGTAATGTCAAGTAATGACACTTGTCTCACTAATTTGTTTCAGAAAATATAGTTATTTCTTTAAATGCCCTTATTACATTGTAATTGAAATACAATAAACCACATGCTTAAGGTGTATGATTTGATAAATTTTGACATGTGAATACATCTCTGAAAGCTTGACTTTAGTGAGGTTCATGAATATGTCCACCTTCCCTGCACACAAAGCTTCCTTGTTCTTTTTTTATCCTACCTCTCTCTTCTGCACTCTCTGGTTTTTAGGTGTCATGTATAGATGTAAAATGTCCCCATAGGCTCATGGTTTGCAAACTTGGTCCCCAGCTGATTGTGCTATTTGGAGAGGCAGTGAAACATTTAGGAAGTGGAGCATAGCTAGAGGAAGTGAACCGTTAACTGGGTAGGCCTTGGGGAATCTAAGTCAAGCTGCTACTACCCAAGCTCTCTGCTTCCTGGTCGGCCATGTTTCTGGACTAAGCCTGCCCCTTGTCTTCTCTTTTTGATGGGCTGAGATCCTCTGAAACTTGAACCAAAATAAACGTCTCCTTCTCCAGGTTACTTCTGTCAGATGTCATGAGATGAGGACAGGCATATTTCGTAATCAGTGGTCTTTCTCTCACTCTATTTTTGTTTGCATTTCTAGAATTTTATGACAATGTGATCATACACTATATGTATTTGTTTAGTTTCTTTCATAGCATAATTATTTTGGGATTCATTCATTCTTTTCCATGTACACAAAGTCCATTTTTTTTGCTGAACATTCTCCTCCTGTACGGGCATAGTTCATTTCTCTAGTCACTTGACAGTGGACATTTGGTTTATTTTCATTCATATCTACTATTTTGCTATTCACTTTCAATTTACTCTCTTTGTTTCCTTTTTCTTATTTACCCCCTTAGGGTGAGTTTTTATAATTCAATTTTTGAAACTCTCATTTGCATGTTTATTAAGTACAATTTAAAAGTATTTTTACATATGTGTGTGCCGTGTGTGTGTGTGTGTGTGTGTGTGTGTGTGTGTGTGTGTGTGTGTGTGTGCAGGTGTCCTCCAAGACCAGAAAAAGTTATCAGAATCATGGAGCTAGAGTTACAGGTGCTTGTGAGCCTCCATGTGGGTGCTGGAAACTGAACCTGGTGCTTTGGGAGAGCAGCCAGCTCACTTAATCATCCCTGACTATCTCTCAAGCAGCCTTGTAGAAATGCAATTTCTTTTAAAAAAAAATTGCGAGAGAAGAAGGGAGGTCACTGCGTGAAGGAGTGTATCCGCTGCCGCCTCTCGGGTGCCTGCCTCCCAGAGCTGAGAGCGTCCTACTGCCGGCAGGAAGGGAAGGATCGGATCATATTTGTGACCAAAGAAGACCTTGAAACTCCGAGCAGTGCAGAGCTGGTGGCTGATGACCCCAATGATCCCTATGAGGAGCACGGATTGATACTGCCCAATGGAGATATTAACTGGAATTGCCCATGTCTTGGGGGAATGGCCAGTGGCCCCTGTGGGGAACAGTTCAAGTCTGCCTTTTCCTGCTTCCACTACAGCAAAGAGGAAATCAAGGGATCAGACTGTATAGACCAGTTCCGGGCCATGCAGGAATGCATGCAGAAATACCCGGACCTCTATCCCCAAGATGATGATGATGAGGAGGAGGCAAAGCCACGGAGCAGGTGGAAGAAACAGCTGCTGCTAAAGCCTCTGCAGCCAAAGAGCAGGGGTCAAGCTCCTGAAGCCACGGACCCTGGCTGCCTCTTTCCATGGGACTTCATGCACAATGCCTTTTGGTCACCTCTGGATCGAGGACACTTTTATGTGGCAGACGGCAGGCACTCATTAATTAAATGGAGAGTGAATTAAGGGATACATAGATGAGCCAATGGGAGAAGGGGACATTCAGAGATTTGGACCCTTACAGCAGATACTATCCGTGTACTTCCTACCACTCATGGGAATTTACCATTTTATGAATTATTGCCAACTTCCAGCTGGCTAAGGAATAATAAGAGTAGGGGCTGTAAGCCTACTGCCCGAGTGCTAGGCAGCCCTCACTCATAGGACATGTGTGTGTGTAAGTGACTGCCTTCCATTCCGTTAGGCGGGGGGACTCTGAGTGGTGCTCTACAGTGACTTCCAGAGGCCACAGCAGGATTAAGTTTCAGTTGTCCCAAGTAAGACCCGCTGTGACTGTCATATTTGTGGTCTGCCTTCCTTTCCATGTTTCTTGCTGTCCTATTCCTCTGCTGTCTTGGTATGATGACTTACACGTCATCCCTGTCTAGATAAATTCAAACTAAGACCATCTGTAAGTAACACTGCATTAGAATTTTGCAGCCCAGTCCTCTTGGGGACCACTCTTTTCCTGCTTCCCATTTTATTCTCCAACGAACCCCACCTGCCCTTCATGATAGCTCAATAAATATTGTTGGACGGAATACCTTGTTTTCCAAGAGCCCCTCCTCCTGTTGTTTTCTTGAGAAGAATGTCTTCACGTGGTGCTTGACAGGGACTTCTACAGTGGTTCTCAAGTGGGTTGATTTCTGAGTAGCGAGGGCTGACAGTACTGTCTTTTGAGTGTGGTTTGGATGAGACGCCTGCCCACTTGGGTAGGTTATTTATTGTCCTTAGTGTTCTTTAAAGGTCTTCCTAATGTGCAGAAGAAATCATATAGCCCCATTCATTTAAAAATATTTATTTCCCTCCCCCTTCTCTCTCTCTCTCTCTCTCTCTCTCTCTCTCTCTCTCTCTCTCTCTGTGTGTGTGTGTGTGTGTGTGCGTGTGTCTGTGTGTGTGTCTGTAGGTATCCAAGGAGGCAAATAGGGCATCAGATACCCTGAAGTTACAGTTGCAGGAGCTTGTGGGCCGATTGAGGCTGATGCTGGGATTCAAACTCTGGTCATTTGAAAGAGTGACAAATGTTCTTAGCCACAAGCCATTTCTCCAGTCTCTATAGTCTAATTCTTAATGATCTTTCTTAATCTTTTCAGAAAATTATATGATAATCCAATAAAAGCCACTCATCATTTACTTAGAAAAAACTGCAGACAAATACGCAAGTTTACATAGCAAGTCGAGGATGCTTCAAAGACCAACAGAGAAACCCCTGGAACAATGCTTGAGTTATTTACAGTAGGAAAGGATTTCCTTCTAGTATTTAAAACAAACTTTAAAAAAATTTAATTTGTCACAATCAATACTAGTCCCCAGTTTGAGCCACGCAAGTCTCACCTGTTAGGTGTGACTATCAGTTTAACTAGTTTACAATGTCACAACCCACAGAGTGAATTCTTGGGTGTTATGTCATTGTCAGGCTGGGGGTTCTGTCTCAGTTCCAGTCCCTGTCTTGATGGGTTTATGTCTTTGCTGTAGTCTTTGAAGGACACTTTGAGTGGCATTCTTCTTCAGTTTGTGTGAACTAAAGCTTTCACACTGTTAACTAGAAGCACCTACGGAAAGGGCTTTCTAGTGTTTAGAACTTGAGGGTCAAGCTTCTCACCAAGGCACATGGCATTCTTTCCATGCCCTGTTACAGCTTTGGTGTGTCAGTTTTTCTGAAAAGAATTTTTTTTGCTATCTTGTTTTCCTTTCTCTTTTTACTTCCCCTAGGTTTTTTCTTCTTCAGCACCTGTCTTGCTAGGAAGGATTTATTGCTTCCTCACTTACATTTGCCCTGTACTAAAAGATCCCAGGTATAAAGTGCTTTATAACTGCATATTATGCCTCTTTATCCCTGTACACATAGAAATGTCTACAAATACAGCAATGGTAAGTTCACTTATGTTTTTTTTTATGTGAAAGCATGTTCACAGAGTCTGGCACAGATGAGCTTAATAAAAAAATGTTTGACTGAAAGGTTTGAGAGGGATTGACTGACAAGGGTGAGAGAGCTCACCAATCCCCAGTTGCCACCGAGTCCTGTATGCTCCTCTGGTTCCAGTCACAGGGGAGCACACGGGACTCAGTCACAGGTGATGCTGATGAGGAAAGCAGAGCTGAGGACTTTGCCTTGGCCAGTGGCTGCCTTTGTCACCCTTTGGCAAGGATTTGGCTCTGCTTCAGGAAGGTTGATTTAGGTTTATTCTGGGTCTCTGGAGGCTCACTTATTGGGAAGGATTGTGGGGGATTCAGAAGCTTAGGCACACCTGCCGTCTAGCAGGGGGATATTTCTTTTTGTCCGGTTGAGCTCTCAAAGTATAAAGCTTTCTCTTCACTTCATGAATGATTGATATTATCTCCAGGTAGGAAGCTTAGTTTTGAGTCATATGACTGCAGGTTATTAAAAGCAATCCCTACTCGAATGTAAAAGGGGGACTTGGTGGGTTCACCACCTTCGCTACAGTCAGCGACTACACTTGAATTATGCTTACAAGGGGAAATGGCTGTGTCATATCACTTGGAAGACTAATGTTCTATGCTAACTCAGAAGACTGCAGGTAGAAAAGCAGAGCAGGAATTCTGGGTTGCTTGGGGGCAAGTGGCTTATGCCAAAAACCAGCATTATAAAAGAACTAACTGGGTAGCCATTCTGGAAGACTTAGGGCTAACCTATGGAAACATATACAAAGCAAAGAAAGGCTTAGGAGTGTGAGGAGAGGAGCAATGAACTAGTTAGGAAGACAGAACTCAGCCATCTCTCCTAGCTCGGCAGTTTCTTTAAGTGTTCAGCAAATGTTATTCTAGTAAAGGAGTTTTAGAAAAAAATCAGGAAGAAGCTTTTTGTGTTAAGGCTAAGGAGAAGAAATAATATTCAGTGGTGCCCCAAGAGCTTTGACTTGTCTGAAAATCTGATTTATAATTGTTTAAAACAATGAGACATATTGGTTTAAATAACTCTTCGATTGAGGGAGTAAAGGACCTCTGTATACACTGTGTTTCATGTATTAATTGGCTGATTCTATTGTTTGAACATTTTCCCCTCCAATATTCATTGATAGGTTGGAAGTGTAATCAATAAAGCAGATGTTGAGAAGGCTAAACAGATAGTGTTTAGGTACCTAGGTGTGGTCCCGATGAATGGATTGATGCTGTAGGATTGGCTTTGCTATTTATACTCTTCTGCAATGTGAAGATACAATAATCATCTTTTAACCTACCTGTGTTGTGGAATATTATTTTAAGATGTGCTACATTGTTGATGTTGTGGAATATTTCTTTATTGATGCAAAGATGTGTTGCATTCTTTTATGTTTAACTCTGTAGAGCTGTGTTACTTTGCCTGTCTAAAACATCTGATTGGTCTAATAAAGAGCTGAAAGGTCAGTCAGTTGCAAGGCAGGAGAAAGGATAGGTGGGGTTGGCAGGCTGAGAGAATAAATAGGAGGAAAAATCTGGGAAGAGGGATCAAGGAGATACAAAAGAAAGGGTCAGCCACCCAGCCTCACAGCCAGACATGGAATAAGGAAAGAAAAGATTTACAGAAATAGAGAAAGGTAAAAGCCCAGAGGCAAAAGGTACATGGGATAATTTAAGTTAAGCAAAGCTAGCTAAAAACAAGCCAAGCCAAGGTTGGGTATTCATAAGAAAGAATAAGATTCTGTGTGATTTATTTGGGAGATGGGTGGCAGGCCCTCAAAGATCAAAGAATAAAATAACAAAAGAACAAAAACAAAAAAATCAAACAACACATATCTGAGTTACATTTTAATTTCAAAATGAAAGCAAACTAGGAGCCGCTGATTTAGGCTCTGAATGCAACAGACGGGGGCATTTGTTGCTGGCAGCCATGATGTGTCACTCACAGATTGGAGGGTGACTAATCTAGGAGTGGTTCTAGATCTTCAGGGCCATGTTCTCCACATGGAGTGTTGCCTTGTCCTCCAGGACACGCTGCAGATGATGGAAACCCTGTATTTGACTCAAAGATGCAGTCAACTGCTTGTCAAGAATGCTGAATCTCATGTTTCCTGTTGTTTCTCCAGTCTCCATAGAAACCATAACATAAATTCACTCTTCACATGAAGGGTTTTCTCTAGGCTAAAATGATAGGAGGATGTGGCAAATAAGCACAGTTTGCCTTTTAAATGGTGATGGAGAGCACAGAGCATCCTTTAAAGCCTTGCTACCGCCAGATTGACCATTGAATCCTGTGAACAAAAGCCAGTATCAACAGTCAAAGCATATTCCCAGACTAGGTTCCTGGCTTGAGTTGTCAAGCTCAGACACAAGGAAAGCTCTTTCTGCAGCAGAGTTATTGTGAGTATGCCTGTGCTTGTGTATGGGTAGGAGAGACATGCTCATTTCACAGAGACAATGAGAATTAGGTTCAGTCAGCAGTGGGTTTTAGGAAGAAATTAATATAAGTTCTGATTTAATAATTACTGAAAAGTGATCTCTCTCTCTCTCTCTCTCTCTCTCTCTCTCTCTCTCGCTCTCTCTCTCTGTGTGTGTGTGTGTGTGTGTATGTGTGTAGTCCAGAAGTCAATGTCAGGCATCTTTCTTATATATTTTTTAAAAGATTTATTTTGTCTGTAATGGTGCTTTACCCACATGTATGTCTGTGCACTGTGTGTGTACAGTGCCTGCAGAAGTCGGAGAAGGAATTGAATCCTCTGGACCTGGAGTTACAGACAGTTGTGAGTCTCCATGTAGGTGCTAGGAACCGAACCTGGATCCTCTGCAAAAAGTAGCAAGTACTCTTAACCAATGAGCCATCTCAACAGCCCCCTGCACCTTATTTTTTGAGGCTGGAGCCACTAGACAGGCTGGCCAGCAAGACCCCTGGATGTACTCCACC